CCTGGCCCTATAGCTTCAGTCGAAGCAAACAGGATGTCCATCCTTTCATATTTCTGCACACAGTTCGCGTATCCATAGATGGGGTTAGACCATCGAAACACTGGGTCATGCGTGAAGCCGAACTTGAAAGACATGGGTTTCCTGCGACTGTGCAGATCCTCGAAGACCTCGATCGCGTGTCGAAGTACGTGACCTGGTGTCCCAACCTTTTTAGGTAACCGCAAGTGTATTTTCCCAGCCAGAGCTATCGCCTCAAAAACAGGAGCGGCACGAGGCAAGGTGGCAATTGCTAGATCCAAGCCAGCGAGGTTGTTGTCAGCTGACTTGTTTCCAAGCGGCGCCACATCCGAAGTCACATCCTCATGTCGTTTGCGGCTTGCATCCCATGCATATGGTCCGAGGGATTCCTGAGATGTTACAGAAGCGATATATAAACTTTAGATGGGAATGATGCAAAACAGTCCGAATGACAAGCCGACCGCTACGAATGCATGACTGTAGCTGGAGCAACTACGAGATACCAACATGGATGTATAAACAGTGCACCATCTTGCATGAGAAATGTACACAGGGGCCTCTACATAGTCGGACTGTCATCACATTTCACACACGTTCGGGTTCGGTTCTGCAAGTTTACATATTTAGGAGGGGCCAATATAGCTTTGAAAGGGCGTCGCGACTCAGCTATTAAGAATGGATGGGTTGAGGCCACCTCAATTTGAGTATGCTACCTATAGTACTTTGGTCCGACTTCAGTTATGCGAGAGTCAAACTTTAGGATGGTTCAGATAATACTTATATTGTTTAGGCTAGTTTCGAAACCTAAGTACTTTACACAAAACATAGGTATATCTATATCTCGACCCAGTAGATACTCGAGCTACATGGAGAATCCCTCCTAAAGTCACGGTCACATAAAACAGCCTATGCAGTGCGGGAACGGGAAGGTCAAGAGCTTCCTATTCTTTCAGGAGGATCACATTATCTAAACCCAACTTGGGATTCTGTCCACCTCGTACGACATGTACATGTACCTAGGCATTTCGCGCACAGTACGTGAAGCGACAACCTCACACACATAAGAGCCCCATTAAGTAAGCCCCTGCATAGTATAGACATAGATGAGTCTACAAAGCCCACAAGTAATTAAAGCTACACACTTTCAGCAGCCTCCATGTATTTGTTGAAAGACCGGAAACTCTAATCTGCGTGGCAGGGCTCAGAGCGGTGGCAGGAAAGCAAATCCAGCAGCTCATCGTCAGTCGTCTCATCACTAGGAGTCGACATCCAGCAGCTAGATGTTGCAGGGCCAGCTGCACGACCATGAAGGCATGTAGACACACAGGAATATGTATATGTACAACCATGTATATCTACTCGGAGTATATATATATATATATATATATATATATATATATACACACATATATTCCCAGCTTGTATACATGCCTATACATGTATGTGCAAAGACCATGCGCATGTGTGCCGTTCTGTATCTGTATATACGTGTGCATATATATATACTCATCTATATATATATATATGTGCTTGTATATAGGTCCTCCTTGCACGCACTGTGCACACGATGCCATGTACAGACATGCAAGTTTGGACACAAGTAGGCACACATGATTCTAGGAACATGCACAAGATGTCACTAGGCAATGACACAGCACATCAGCAGGCACTATAGAAAGATCTCAACTGAGAGCAAACATGGAGCGTGCCAGGGGCTTGAACAATGGGTCGGGGCCGGACTGAGCCTTTTCAGGATCCATGCAGTACGTGTTTGTGTGCTAGCACAGTGTGGTCCTGCCACGAATGTCCTAAATCAGTACCACATATCCTTGCTAGTGGTTCTTTGGAGGATACTTGGAGTTGCTTGTATATATGCACATGGATAGAGCATGGTACTCATTCCCCTCTTTTTCACGGTTCCTTATACTCTTGATCTCTTTATGCCTGTCTCTATGGGCTTGCTCTCTGTTATTCTATCCCTCTCTCTCTCTCTCTCTCTCTCTCCCTTTCTCTCTCTGTATCTCTTTCTCTCTGTATCTCATTATGGATTGTTTACGGCGTGCATTCGGTTTTTACATATATATATGGACATGTACATACACATCTCACAGTCACATATACATATATATATATATATATGTATATACATACACATCTATGCAACTATACGTTTCTACAGTCATACATGCATACATATATATATATATATATATATATATACATATCTTCATATATGTGTCTATACATGTACGTACAATATATATATATATATATATATATATATATTCATGTATATATGTATATATACATATATATATACATATATATATACATATATTGTCTATATGCATACTTTAATAGACTTAATCTACCAGAAGCACAAGATGCGTACATCTACCAGTGGGCTGTTCGTACATCTCACTGTCACTCTGAGGCTGGCTTGCACACAGGGGCAATATGTATGCACATGGAGCCTTTTCACCTATCTTGTTCAGGAGTTTTTTTCTCTGATTCATATACAAGCGCTAGTTGAGGCACACCGTTCTTTGCAGGTTTGCATGCCTGGAGTATATAAGTATATACATAGGCCTGTTTTAGCATCGGCCTACCCACGTAAGCCACCCGAGCCCTCTACCCATGCTGCTAACAATTTATAGTGCATACAGGAAGAGTACAATGCGTATCCTCATGGACGACATGCTGTAAATAGAGGATCGATCATATATATATATATATATAAGTTAAATTAAAGGTCCAATCCCAGGCGTTTAATATGGGAGTTTGGTCTAGACGGCTATGAGCACATAGCTTCAATTAACTTCTTATACAGACAGGTTATGCATGGGGTTAATGGGTAGGGGCCCACTGACTTCAGGGTTATCTAAGGAGCCGGCGCCGTTGCCCACGTTCTTCGCCATCTGACGAGCAACTGGGCCATGACCTGGCATGTTCAGGACCAGTGAGTGTTTGACGGGCCCAGGATTATATATGGACTGCATCTGTGGTGGTCAGTTTCTTTTCCATGACATACTCCGAGCTGTCATCCTTGCCAATCCAAAGGAACCGACTTGCAAGGGCCATCCATGTAGCTAGTAACATGATGCACGGAGCGATTCACAAAACAAACTGGTTGGCCAGCTTTACTCGCTCAGGCAGCTGCTGCAGCTGCTTCTGCATGATGCTCATATGCATTCTGGAAAGATGCGGAGGCTTGGGCCTCTTCAGTGGGGTGGCTGTTCTATATATAGCAGGTTAGCAGGACAGCAACAGTCAGCTTTTGCAGAAATTAAATTTCTGTGTGGAAGTCACACAGGTGTCATCATGTAGCTGCTCACACACCAGCCATTCATGACTCGGCAGCTTCCGGCTTCTTCTTGAAGTGGCGCTTTGCACTCCTTAGGCTGATCGTCTGCTGTTTGCTTGGATACGCTTGGGTGATTTAAGCACTCCAGGGCTTCTATAGGTCCAGGCGATGACATGTTGGGAATCTAGTCTCTGGTTCTAGGCAATGACACATTGGCAAAGCTAAGGCATTGTCTTCACTTTGTTCTCGTTGGACACCACCTTGGCACACCTGGGCTTCTGCAGCTGGTTGCAGCGAAGAGATAGCAGCAGTGCAGCAGCTTCGGTCGATCATTCAGCCCAGTTTCTTGTAAGTCATGTCCTTCATCATAGCCTCGCTCTCCATGCGCCACCTGGGGTGATGCTTCTTAGCTCAGCCTATAAACTGATTGTATAGGATAAACAATGTAAGTGAACATACAGATACATACATATTGCTACATACACTGATACACACATGTTGTAGCATAGCCCTGTCCATGAGTCGTCGAACCATGTAGAGTAGAAGTACATGCATGCATTCACTAAACGAGAGCAGTGCTTCAGATTTGACAAGAGCCGATCGCTGTAAGTAGAGAAGTAGCATGGCATTGTAAGGGCCACACACATTTGTTAGTAGTCCAAACCCTGTAATATCAATCATATCCCCAAGGAACAAATGTCCCTTTCCATGGTCTAAGGCCCACTAAAGTCGTATATGAGCATGGTCAGCTACCATAGACAGCTACCATAGACCGCTCGATCCATAACATAGGCGCAAACCCAGAGTCTAGAAAAGCCGACACACCTTTATAGGGTATACTTTCAAATCAAATCAACACCATTTCCACAAAACCCCCTAGACCCACCTCTCCCAACAGCTGCCTAGTTGCATGTGGCGACACTGGCAACAAGGAGCTGGGCATATGGGGGACTTGGCCATATTCAGGACAGCATGGTCAGTTATCGGTTCCGAAGGAATGAAGCCCTGCTGCTTTCGCGTACCCCAGCCTTACCCACAATATAACATATACACTTTATGCGGGCTGGACCAAACCCTAGAACAAAACCCAAACCCTCTCCCTCTATGTTTCCAGACATAAGTATAAATAAATATATATGTATATATATATATATACATACATATTTGTTTGTATATACCCTATGTAAGCCCTATACATATATGCAACACTATAATTATTCATTAGATGTTGGTCAATCGATGTCATTGACATCACTCAAATGTACACCTTGGTCTACCATCCTGGAGATTTCAAAGACCCAGACAGCATCAGCTAGCATGATCGAGTCGTCAGGTGCCGATGTGTGTGTGCAGCTAGAGCGAGTGCACATGTGTTCTATATGCTACGTTTGCTACAACCACACGAGTTGAGTGCTGCTAGGCTTTGGACTCCTGGGCTTCAGCTTGATCAGGGAAGTACATAGAAAACTTATATTGGGTTTTGTCGGGGCTTATGCAGGGTTATTATTATGGGGCATTATGTACTACAGTATGTTGTCCTTTACGTACTGCTGTGATGCAGTGTGCAATATACAAGGCTCACATTGCACTCAGTCGTCGATCGGATGTGGCAAGCGGGCGTTGCTGCAAAACAGCAGACAGGGGGTTGGGTTCACATTGTCTTACGATTTCAGCCGAGCTACGCAGAATCATGATCCTTCATCGCCCCCTTGGCCTGCATGTCCGTAAGCTCGGTGTAAGCCTGATCCAAGATTTTGGCGTCGCCCTCCAACGAAGCCACGCTCCTCGGCGATGGGAAGGCATGATTCTGTATGTGGGAAGTTGGAATTTGCATTACTATATATTGAAGCAGGTTTCGCGACAGCCAGGGGGTCGTCGTAGGTTTTGACGAGGTCACGGATCAGGGCACGAAGCTTGGCACTTTTCGCCAACACACTGTCAATGTACTTCCGGAAAACCTCTTTGGCTTTGGTGGCCTGATGATGATGAGGTAACAACTCTTAGAAAGCAAGCAGAACTGAGGAACATCATTGTGTACCTCATGCCCTGCCTCACTGGCGACTTCGACCGCAACCGCACTCTGGCCTTGCTGACGGTTTCTGAGCTCGTCCAAACCACGGAAGTCTCCAGGTTCCAGCGCCGCACGATGCTCCTCAACACAGGACCATAAAGTTAGTCATAGTCAAACGAGGAATCTAGAACAGTACATTGCATGCTGGTATACAAGAACTTGAAGTGTCGATCCTGGGTGGTCTGGGTGATCCTCTCCTCGCGCTCTTCCGCAAGTTCACGGGTTCCGGTTTCCCTGACCTGAACCCAGTACTCGTCGTCACCGCCATACTTCGATCGCCTCTGCATAGGGTAGCCAGACATGCACATATAACTCAACACACACACACACGGGAAAGTAAGCTTCATGTTCCAACTCCAGCCAGTTATTCCAGCCAGCTCTGCCTAGAGGGATTTTGCTAGCATTGCATACATAGACAGCACAGGGCACAGGCTTTTCAAGCTTAGACACACACACACACCAAGAAGGTACCGGTGGGCGCACACATCATGCATAGAGATGTACACACACACACACGTGCCGCCTTTACTTAGACATACTGATAACATCCAGTGGAACATCATGTTGACATACTGGATACTCTTCGTATACCTGTACATGAACTACGAGAGTGCACACACATGCTTTGCATGTTCATATGTGTCTATAGGGTATGTGCATGTGTGTGTGCATGCATGCCCTTGTGTATATATGCACGCACATACACAAACATAAAACTTGTAGCATGTGCAAGCCCAACATTGAACCCGACACTCAGGATGCCCCCAGCTGTGGCCTGATCAACTGCGCGGCGTTCGCCTCGCATGCCCGAATGGCACCACTGATCTTCTTCCTGATGCTGCTTAGGCTTGAATGAATTTCTAAAGACACAATACCTATGCATATAAGGAGTTCCCATGAAACTAAGTTGCTTAAGTACCTAGTATGCTATCGAACCAGAACTCGCAACAACACTTCTACATGTCTAACTGCGATCGAGACTTCATGATGACAGGACCGAGTAAGTTGAGGAGCTTAGGTACAGCTCGACCCGATAAAACCGAAACGAACGAGATATACCCAAAGAGATACACACATCCCAGCGAGGGTACACTTTTGGAATAGCAGACAAGCCGTGCAGAGGATTTGTACCCAGAGAGAGAGAGAGAGAGAGAGAGAGAGAGAGAGAGAGAGAGAGAGAGAGAGAGAGAGAGAGAGAGAGAGAGAGAGAGAGCGGGAGACGAGGGTATTGGGCAAATATCAGGGTAACAGCAAGGGTCTGGATTATGTACTATATAGGTATATATGTGCAATGAAATTATGTGTACACACATATATATATATATATGTATGATGTAATCACACATATGTTTGTGAACACAATTTTATCTACAGATGGAATAGCCATGTACTAATACACAGACAGCGGGTAAAACTACCAGAGCTTTATATAATTTACAGTTATCCATACAGCATTTACGGTAGGGGCTCCAGTGGGTTCAGCACGTACACATCCTACGGTCTGGCCATGTCAACGAAGGACGTAAGAGAGCATGAGAGTGCGAGAGGTCAGAGAGAGAGAGAGAGAGAGAGAGAGAGAGAGAGGGAAAGAGAGAGAGAGACAGAGAGAGAGAGAGAGAGAGAGAGAGAGAGAGCGAGAGAGAGCGATAGTAAGAGAGAGGGAGAGATAGAGTCGGAGGGATGTTGGTTAAGAATGTAAGGTTAGAGCAACCCGACACCGCTATTCCGATCATGTTGCAGACGAGGGCTCGGGTTCCAATGCAACACTCGGGACATGTCCTCCTTTGAGTACCATCCCTCCTCGACGGAGTTCGTCTTCTTGTCACGCCGGTTGATGCTGTTCTGCACCGAGGTCACGAACTTGTCCTGCGAGGATGTTCGTGACAGAGGCCTGGGTATGGTATACAGGCTATGTAAATATAGGGGTCAGTTAAAGCCGGTTGGTGCCACCATTTGGATCGTCAGACAGCCTGGTTAACATGCACTGCTGCGTAGCACCACTAACGAAGCCTGATGATAATCTGTATACGTACAATGATCGAAGACTTAAACTAAGACCTACACACAGGCTACATGTACCATGCGTGGGCACTGCATAGAATGCACATCCATGCTACTTCGTGTAATTGGTCTGAACTTGTATTCGCAACTTACCCTAAATTAAGATCCCAGACAGCTAGTGTCACTCAAAGCCACTAGACACTATTCAATATTAGGTCCTTGTTGTAGCCAGCCTCCTCGTACTGCAAGGAAAGGGCGGAGTGGTTCCCGGTTTTCCACAATTCATGCAACCAAGTAGGCACAGCCAGCGACCCATTCTTACGTCGCTGACAAAGTCGGCGAAGCTTGGCGTTCCTCGCCGCCCGAGTCTTCCTTGGCACACCGTCGGAGGTCAGCCCAAAGTCCTCCTTCCGCTCCTCCTGCTCTTCCTTCTCCTCGGCTTCGGTCTCCTCACAGTGTGTTCGTGCTTCCATGTTATATATATATATATATATATATATACATATGCTGTTTTGTTTGGCACTCATCGGACATAAAGCAGGCCAGTGTGAGGCATGCATGCAGGCTATATATGTATAGAACATACTATTATACCTGGCCTGCTCAGGACAATCATTCGGGGGCCCTCGGTCACTCATGCCGTCGATCTCCGCCTTGCTCCCTTCGCCATTCATCATGGTCTCAGCGTGCTCAGCAGTGCGGGCCTTCTTCTTGTCCGGACTGCAGCCCGTGATCCGGTAGCCCAAGACCGAGCTTGCGGTGTCCAGGCTCATGGTGCCATCGACCACCATCTTGCGCACAGGTGCCTCGAGCTCTGCCAGCTCCTTGCAAACATCATTTAAGATTCAGGCTAGGTAGGGCCCTAGCTAGCTGTAGATATGAAACTCACAGGATTCGTGCAGCTAGCCATGCATAAGGGTCCTGGCTCTGGGCACTCGTAGCCAGGGACGACGGTGAGTTCGAGCGGGGCGGGGTTGCGGTGACTGCTTCGTGATACCTTTCGGCTTCCTTCAGCTCGAGGTCAGAGGCCTCTCCACTTGCAATGTATATGCATTCTATGCATTCATGAACTGTGCATGACGACACAGATCTTCAAGAGTACATCTAGACATGTTGCATTCACTCAATGTGCTTGTCAAGACAAAGGGCCGGCTGGGTGTCAACAACTTGCACCAGTTTCATTTCCTGGTCAGAGAACATGGATTATTCAGCACATGATTGTTGTACATGATACACACACAACCGAGTGTGACTTGTCTTCACATATGGCCTGCTCCTCAAGGCTCTTGAGCTCAGCTTCCATAGCCTGCAAGGACCCAAGGGCGGGCCGAGTGGGGTCAATAAGCAATCGAACCCGAAGTTGTGTGTGAAACCATAGACCTAGACATGTCTAGAGCCCCACCTCCAGCTCACGAAGGGCATCAGGATCGTTCCCTTCATCCATCACATGATGCAAACCGTCACGGAGCTCAGAGCAGCTCCACATCCTGGAAGCAAGCCTGCTATCGGCTCCGTCTTGGCCCATCTCGACAGAGCTTGGGAACCCGAGGGCAGTAGGGGATGCAACTAGTAGTGCACGAGCTCAAAAGCTATGTGTGGCCGCACATGACAGCACATGCAGGAGAAGCGACAACGACTCATCCAATCATCAGCGTGATGGCATGCAGGTGCTGCCGGACTCAAACAGTTGCATGCTAAATGCCGTTCTGGGTTAACAATCCCACAGTGGGGCCTGGTCACTTTTAACACCGACGAGCCTTAATCGTGCCTGGTGGAACATGCATAGCATGCTTTCCAACTGCATCGTTGTAATGCTAGACTGTTCAGGAAGTAATCAGGAGCTGTATATACTTAGTGACAATCGCTTGAGATATGTAGGGAAGATGATCTAGCGTGGTGTTAGTTGATGCTATCTTACCGGAACTAGATCTACCTGGTCGATACTCGATTTACATTTCTAAGAAACCTACCTATGTATGTTAGGATTTAATCCAAGACCAAAATACCAACTCAGGCTATGCTATATGACCTGTGGCAACCAGCCCCAGCAGGAGTAGTTCAGACCTAGCAAAAGTCTATCTTAGTTTGCATGATTTAGTACTTAAATAACCCATAAAATTTTACGGGTTGGTTATGGCTTTTTACGGGCAGGTTACGCTTAGAATACGGGTTAGGAAAATACGGGTTACAGATTTACCGGGTTTCGCTCTAAGCGGTCACGGGTGTTTACGGGCAATGTACGGGTGTTTACGGGTAGGTTACGGGTGTTACCGGGTTATTTTCTCCCCAAGTATCTTATAACCTATGATAATGATATTGTAGTGTAACCTAGACAGCAAAAACAGCAGCTGGAAAAGCACGGCTCCAGGAATCCTCTTCTAATTGTATAGTACGAAACACACGGCCTGGAGCAGACCGGGCTGCTTGCTGTCCAAACATGAAAGCTGGCAGCTGCTACATAGTCGCGGCACAAGGAAATTGAATCATCTCTAGCTTAACCCTGTATACTAATCGGATCCCAGTAGTGCAGACCAACAGCCCAGCTCCCCTGCCTTGATTATTGCAGTCTAATGTACACTGTACCAAGCACATGCACTGTCTGCATGCACTGAGCTGAAGAATAGCTCAAAGGGTTCCAGGCAGCAAAGGACGAAAATTGTCCGGGATTCGTAAAGCAGTGCACCCACGAATGTAACGGATGCACTCAACCATATTCGCATCTTCCCACTTGTCATCGTAACTCATCATGCGAAAGGTATCAAAAGCCGTGGGCACGTCCTCTGGCAGCTGTGGTGTGCCTCGCTGTGTCGCTAGCACCTGGTCATGGAGCTCCACGAGGCGCAAGCCGAATTGTGCCGGATAGTTCCTGAGGGCATTGGTCACAAGCTGTTTGTACATGGTTACAAGGACAACTCAAACATCTGGGAGGTAGGTTCTCTGTCTTCATGCTTACGAGGGCATTAAACTTCGAGGCCTAGGTGTGGGGGCATGATAGAATAAGTGGTCCACCCAAAGTACAGCATGGGCTGTTGAGCTGAGTGGGGTTGCTAAATGACAACTTGGACCTATAAGAAGGCCTACAAGAGCCCCTGATCCCTAGATACAGGCCCATGAATATGTATGTATACGTAGTCATTTAATATTTACTATGTATACCTCAGCATCCCAGTTTAAGCCTATACACATATGTGCACCTATCGTTGTTAGCTAAGCACTCGATCACTCCGATTCTCGTCAAACTGTTATTATGAAGAACAGATAATGTGGAGATGACACTCGCATCAACTGGTTTCTGAGTACCCTACTCAGTCGACTTCAGGTTCTTGTTTCCGTGGTACCGCTTGACTCCCCGTTTGTCCACATACCGGTGGCTTGTACGAACTCTGTCTGGGTGAGCGCTGCAATAGCCCTGCCAATTCTGAAGTGGCCCCTTGTAGAGCAGCTTTATGGCACTCGCATTTGCAAACGCCCAGTGCGGCTTTGGTGTAGCAGCCCCATAGTGGCGCATGTGCCAAGTCACTTTGGTAACCTTGGCTGGTCGGTGTGGGGACAGAAAAGATACATGGTGTCGGCCGAGAGAAACTTAAGAACTCATATGTTGTACACACACAGGAGCACATCCCAGACGTATGACATCTGCACGGCAAGGATTCTACTGTCTGATCGATAGCTCTTCATGCATACGTTGTATAGCAGCCAGTACCAGCTATAGATTGCTCATACATACTTTTACCTTATCCCTACCATGTGTTCGCATGGTATGGTCACAGATCACAGGGGTAGCTGTCCATGCCAACAAGCAGTGTTCCGTTCATGGGGTTCGCGACACTTCGGTGTAGAAAGAAACATGCTGTACACAGAACTATATAGACTTAGAAATAATTGAACCGACACAACCGAATCCCATGCCGACCCTGCCATTGAAGTTAACCCAGAAGCCCATTTAAGAACAGATTTAGGTTCATCCCAGACCACTGTAACAGGATGGATGCACAGCCCTTACATCAGCAACTCTGCGTGGCACGATGGCACTCCCTTCAATTGCTTCTGGGCAGATTCGCGAACTATGCAGTTTGAGTCGAGAGCCAGTCCGCGGAGGAATAGTTGCAGCACTAGATTTGGCCAAGGCCGTCGATAACAGAGAGTTCCTGACTTCATCGAAATCCTACCAGCGCACTACCATTTATCGGGCTCGGAACAAACGAAAACAGTACTTGCAGGGCGCCACCTGCAATGTGGATGCTGTCTCAAGTTCAAGCTCTGCCTTCCCTAAAGCTATAAACATATCCCATAAATGGTTGCAGATTCAGCGACCCATAAGTGGGGTGGCCAAGAAGTACTTACTCGATCTCACTTAACATGCACGATGTATGAGGTTGAATTGAACAACTACATACAGTCTCAGCATTGGACCATCTAAATTGCCTGACATCCTTCGGTAGCTTTGGACGAACACGTATCCTATACATAGCACTTTCAGCTACCAAGTCTCCGTCTGCATCAAGCTACATTCAGACCAATTGAAATTTCACCTCTAGACCTAGTCTCACGAGGTTGCTGGAGGCTGCAGATCTGGTTCCAGGCTTCACAGGATATGTGCATTCAACTCATTACATCGGCGATAACTCGAAGTGTCAGGGCTCAGGAGGAACAACTTTGCCATGGGGTTCGATAGTTTTCTACAAGGGTTATATACTATAGTCGGTGCTTTGGTTAGACTCGCATGAAGAAGGCTAATGGCACTTTGGGAACTTGGGATCATTATTAGCTTCAGGGTTTTAGGGTTTTTGTTCAGGGATGGCATGGGGGGGATTAGGATTCTGGTTTTGAGGATCAGGGGTTATATAAGGTTCAGGAATAATTAAGGTTATATAGGAACTATATACGGATTATAGGGTTTATACAGCTCTTTCATGTTTTTTGGGTTCATACGATGGTATGTAAGTCTATCAGGGCTCTGGGTGGTTCCGGGTTGGGGGCTTTAGTTTTATAAGGTTCACAGCTTGTAGAAAATCATCGATTTAGGCTCCAACTGCTAAAGCCTCTTTACATAAAGCAGCCTTACGATAGGCCCCATATAGCTCCCCTAAAGAATCCTATAATATTTCGAAACCTCTTGTAGCTCCTATACTCAGATTTTTCTGGTAATGCAATTTCATAGGAATCTTAACCCTGAAAACCTAAACACATCCTGAAAGCCTACACAATTTCATAGGAATCTAAACCCTCAAAACCCTTACAAATCCTGAAAGCCTTGCAAGCCCTAAACCCCAAACCCTGGCACTGTATAGCTCTAAGGCACGGTGTTCTTTAGGGTTCCAAGGGAAATGTAAAGAAGGGTGGGCATTTTAGTGTACACACGAACGTCCACACTCCTGCACGGGGCTTGTAGTGACTCGAGTGCAAAGGATGTCGAGCACCCCTACAGTAGTTCATTGACGGGTATGTTCGGGTCATCAGTAACAAAGGCACAAAGGTACATACCACAGCATGCTATCGATCCTAGCTGGGGTCTCATACATTCAGAACAGAAGCCTATACAGCTAGAACATGTATATAAGTATATATGTATACTATATGGTGTACATGGAGCAGCTTCTGCCTTGCTTCGGAGGTGAAGGGGACTCTAGAACACCAGCACCCCTACATATGTATATATATATATATATATATATATATTCATATTTCCATACATGCATGTTTACACTTTAGCAGTGGGTGTATACGTTTACATAGCTATATATGTTTTCGGTATAGCACATGCATGAATTAAGGGAATATGAGTACATATATATGTATATATACACATATATGTATGTAGATGTGTGTATGTATGCCTAGCCGGGGAATGGGAATGATTTTATGCGTGGAGGGTCGCACAGATTTAGAGGTGCACCGGGTACCACGGGTCGTACACAAGCTGTCATCTCAAACGGAGGGTCCCGGAGGTTCCACAGACTTAGCGAGTACTGTAGGCACACACACACACGTGCAAGTAAATAAGTTATTGATCGTAGAGCTCAATAGTTTGACGGCCTAGGCTATATATATGTACCGGGTATATGGATATCGGCCCCGTAAAGACCCAGCAACCCCCACCCACAAACATGACAATGTGGCTACATCCAACTAAGATCATTTTAAGCAGGAAGACCCTGAAACAAATAGCCCTAAGCCATCAACCAAGAAGCCCGAGCTTTGGAAAATTTACGTGAACCATCATAAGTCGGCAACCATGCAAGTCTAGCCAAGCCGAGGCACAGCACCTTCACCCAGCATCTGCATCACAGCGCGGAAGCGCGGGAAATATTCCAGGAAGCTGCCACTTGGCTGCTCAACCGACCACACTCCGGACAGGGCCGTCACTAGCAGCAGCAAGAGACTCATCCTTGGTTGACTAGTCACGACTGTTGCTGGAGAAGCAAGTGGCAAGGTACATATGTGTGTGTGGTGGCATTGGGACCAGCAAACACACACGCAACACTGAGCACCACAGGACAAGTTGCCTCTGTCATCAGCATTGCATCATTTAGTCTATGGCTCGTAGATCGACAGTAATTGGTATCTACAATGCTTCAAAGCGTCCGTGAAGCCATGCAGTTACCTTCACGAACGAAAGCATGATCCAGGTTCCCCAAAGCCGTACAAACCGATCTCCCGGAGGTCCCTTGACTGACCTGACTCCAGCTCCCACATTTGATGCCAAAATGACACCAAAATCCACGAGGATCTCCATGGAGCACCGTGGACACGGCCAACCTGGGATGCGCCATTTGACAGAATGTGCGGTTTCGTACATTTAGCAGCTTCGGACGAACGGGTACTGGTTTCATATGATGGATATAACAGCACCGAGGTGCAGGAACCCTGATGGCGTCAAGATATCCATGTAGTTTTGCTTTCCAGAAGCTGCCACATGATACTTGTAGTCTAGCTTGGCCGCAGAATGCCCTGCATACCTCATCATCCGTGTTGCTTCAGCCTGGCCCGCAAACATCTCGATGAAGCTGTAGTGGCCGGTGTTCTGGCACGTGAGACATTTCGTTTGGTATCTTTTACATGACCCCTGGTTTCTTGGCTCTGGATGGAGTACAGGCAGCCTATATACAACAGGATGCATAAAGTCAGTCTCGAGTCTTTTCACGTACAGCTATACATGGGCATAAGGAGACCAGGCCACTGGGAATCACTATATATATACAATATGTATGCGTATCTATATAAATATATTAATATACATATATATAGAGAGAGAGATAGATAGTGCAAGGAGTACTGGATGGGGCTGGAAGGTGAAAGTGAGTGCTGCTTCTCCTAGTCCGGGGTTCTCATACAAGGATGGCCCCATGCAACCTTGTTTATAGCAAGGTACATGCATGTAAACACAGAAGCTGAAGCCTGGGACCCCAAACATCTACCTAGGAGTTGCCAGCAACCCGGCGACAAACCAGCACAGACCCCACTGAAAGCACTCAATACCCCAGGCTTAAAGACCGTCGATCAGCTGAGCAGCTGCACCCTGGCGAAACTGACGGCTGCTTCCAGCTACACGCCGCCGGCTGCAGACTAGTCGAGTATGCGTGTGCACACCTCTGTGTATCTAGACACCATGCATTTAAGCTGCAGTGCACACTCTATACACGCCTATATAAGCATGAGTTGCACACACATGTCCCGAGCTACCATGTTTGGCAGTCAGACTGTCCCTGGCTATTCCCGGTACAACTATGCATGATTGGGCAGTATAGACTGCTGGTTGTGTAGCAGCATAGAGAACAACACAGGTTGTGCGTGCATGCAAATTCTCAACACGAATCTTCATTAGCACACATTCCAAAGCGAGAACATACCAGGCAGTTCCAGCATACATGTATATAAGCTGTATATACCTATGTGCACCATCGATCAGAACCAAATAATCTCAGACTCTCAGCCTCTCGGGCTTCAAGGATACACTAGGCCTCCATCATGCGAGTTCTTACATAGCCCTCACATCTGAAGATTGGACACCGACGAACATTCCACCAACACTTCTCGAGCTCAACTTATCGGAATGTGGAGAACCCTCTGCTCCCCAACAGAATAAACTGATGCCAAAAAGCAATACGAGAACCAAACCTGCAAACCGCGGTTGCTGGGCACTTGCCTGCACAGCTGCGTCGGGCCACTCGGCCCACGAAAGCAACAGGATGGCGAGGAGAAGCACCTTGGCGGTTGCTACTCGCGTCTTCTACCCATGTCAATATACATAATATATTGGACAATCTGTAAGTTTGTGTGTATAGACTTATAGTGTGTATATAAGTTCATCTACATAATATAGACATGTCTAGGCTAGGATAATTTGTGTTATGGCTGCATAGGTCTACCTATGTCTTACCTATGTGTACATATGTGTTGTTATCTATGTTTACAGCGCCATAGTTGCAGCTAACTGCATAGATCTATTTATGCATATATACATATACAGACAGACTTGTGTCTGTCTTGCTGCCTACATATTTTATG